TTATTTGAGAAAATTTTTTCCTTTGTTATTGTTAGGTACAATCGAGTATGACCGACTCACAGTGACCCTATGAACAGCCAACTTGAACCCTGCCCTCTCCCATGCCATCCTCATCTTCTCTGAGACACTAGAGCCCTTTGCTGAAGTCATCATGGCAATACATCCCATTGGAGGTCGTCTTCTTCTTTGTTGACCATCTGTCTTACCAAGTGCAATGTCCATTTCCAAGGAATAGCCTTGTCTGGATACATACAAGAGAAGTTAGTTTCATTTCTTAAATTATATTTAAGAAGAGATTTTTCTAATTTTTGTCTGGTCTCTTTGCAAATCTAAGTGAAGTTGAGAATTTTGAAACAATGAGAAATAGTGTCAGGGGACCTGAATGAGATACTCAGATCTGATTTTCCCTCATCCTGCTTCAAACGGACAATATCCATAAAACAATCAAATTATATTTTTATATTATAAAATAAAGCCGATTTCCCCCCCCCCCGTTATGTATAACTAAGAAGACCCAATAAGGTTGGGGAATTACAGGCAAGGGAGAAGACAAGATTGATTTTTTTTTTTTATGAAGACAATTAGAACTTGGAAGTGTACATGAAAATTGCTAGAGACCACCGTGACTAAGGGCTCATTCCATGTAGAATGAATAGATACAAAATTCAGATCAACTTTAGGGGCAATTGCTGGCATGATTAAATTTGGTGACATATTAGTAAGCCAATTAGCTTTTTCTTCCTCATCTTGCTTGTGTAGTAGCATTTGCCCGTAGGTTGGAGCCACAAATAGGGAGATTGGTGGCTTAGTGGCAAGGAGCTATGCTTCTCATAGAAAATCATGTGGTTCAAATCCACAAGCTTCTCCACTGGAGAAAGATGGGGCAGTTTACTCTTGTGCAATTTACAGCCTGGAGAGTCAACTCTGAATTGGTTCTGATTCAAAGGCATACACCACCACCACCACCACCACCACCACCATGTCAGAACTCCTAGAGTAGAGACCTAGGAGTTATAACAAGTCAGTGCCTCACCTAGCTGAGGACCCTAGGAAGGAGTTGTTACGTGCCCTCAAGTTGAGCATGACTCATCATGACCCTATGACCAACAGCCATGCTCACCAGTCTGACACATTTGAACACATGGTGTGTCCATTTTGACTGGTGGTAGTAATCGCTTCCTTTTATCATTAGATAAACTAGCACAACCTCAAACTCATTGCCATAGAGTCAGAATTCACTCACAGCTGGCCCCCTTGGTGTGTTTCAGCGGTTGTAACTTGCTCATCTTTCTTCTGTGGAGTTGCTGGTGGATTCAAATCAGCAATGAGGTGTCCATCTTTGGGTTAGCAATGCACCTCTCCACTGATAGGCAATACTGATGGTTGAAAAAGGGAGAGACAGGAAATGAGGTCTAGGATAAATTAGAAAAACAAGGCAAGATCACAACAACTGAAAAAAGACTTAAGGAAATCCTCCAGAAGGAGAGAATTGTCAAACTCATATGGGAAGAACAATCACACAAGGAAAGAGTAAATAAAGAAATAGAAGATTTGAAAGGGGAAAGTGTGATGACAATGTACAAATGAAATGGTAAATCGACATTTTGAGAATTTTTAAAAAGATAAAAAGAAAAATACAGGTTCTATAGCAGAACTAAGACAATGGAAAAGGAAATTATTTGCTGCTGAGGAATTTTCTAAAACACACAGCAAAGAACCAAGAAAAGAGAAAGGCAAAGAAGGAACCAGGAAGAAAATTAAAATTCTCAATTTCTACTTAATAGGATTTAAGGACAGATTGTTGTTGTTGTCAAGTGCCAGCGAGTTGATTCTATGAAAAATGGTTCTGAATCTTGACATTCATTCAGTGGCCCCATGAACAATGGATGTGAACCTCTGCCCTGCCCTGCCCTGTTCTGTTCTGACCATCGCAGACATAGTCGAGCACTCTGTCACTTCTGTCAGTCCATCACACTGAAGGTTTTCCCCTTTTTGCTGACCCTCTACCTTTCCAAGCATGATGTCCTTTCCCAAGTACTAACCCCTCCTAACATGGGCAAAGTATGCGAAGGAACACTCGGTCTGCACCTCTGCCAAGACATATTTGTCTACTTTTAAGCCCATGGGATATTCAGCACTCTTCACCAACACCACAGAATGATTCTTCTGTCATCATTATTCATTGTTCAATTCAGCTGTATAGCACGTTAATTGAAAAGATTATGTTTTGAATCAGGTGAGCCTTCCTCTTCAAACTGGCATTGTTGTTCTTCAGCAATTTGGAGAGGTCCTGACAGCTCTCCCGATGCAATAAGTCTTTTGATTTCTAAGGGTGGTGTTTGTGAATCCAAGCAAGATGAAATACTTAACAAATTCTATCTCATCTCCATCTATCATGGTGCCATCTGTTGGCTCAGTGGCAAGGGTTTTTGTTTTCTTGATTTTGAAATTTTCAGATAAAACAAAAAAGTCTCAACTAAAAACCCCAAACAAGCCAAGCAATCACTCCAGTGTCCATAAGAAAATACAATCGGAGTAGTGCAGTAAGAATTATTTGAACCTAAGGAGAAGATATGCAATAAGAAAAGATGATTGCTAGTGCAGGAAATTTATTAATGCTCTCCTTTCCCCCCACAAATAAATACTCAATATACTTACATACTAGGGAGGTGTTTTATGGTGGTTTTTTAAAAAAAATTGCTTTTTAAAATATTTTCTTTATTTTTGTATTTTTTTTTTACATTTGAGTGAAAGTTTATAAATCCCATTGGTTTTTCAGTTGAACATTCATACATATTTTGTTTTATAGTATTAATTGCCAATTTAGTCACTCAGTGCTGACCTTCCACTTGGCACCTGGTTTCTGAGGCTGTAAAGCACAAGCAAAGAGATTGCCCATCTTTATTCATTGGAGCAGCTGATGGATTTAAAAAGCCAGATAAGTATGGGCTTTGGGTGGCCACACTCAGTATGCACTATGTCATAAGAGGTCCCTAATTACAATGGATTAATATAATTAATTATAATATCTGATTTTACTGTATATTGCTGCTATCATCATATAATTTATCTGTTTACTAATTTTTTGCTCCCTGTCATCTCTGTTGACCTTCCAAGATTTATTCCATCCATGTGCAAACCTTTCCCTAGCTTTTTACTTTTCATTTTCTTGAGACTTGTTATATGTCATCAAGTTTTAACCAACTCATAGCTGACCCTCCAGGGGGCTTTTAAAGGCTCTAAATTACATGGGAAGACATTGTTTCTCCTATGGAACAGCTGGTGAATTAGAACCTTTAGGATGCCTTTACGATGGCAGTGCAACTTCTTACCACTAGGTCACCAGAGCTCACCTTCTCTTGAGACTCGAGAATTTATAAACTAAAAAGAGATTATACTGCTTTAAGTAAAGAAGTCTTTTCAATGGTCAGGTGAAGTCATTTCCTGATCCTATGATAAAATTTCCCTGGGAGTGCTCTTCAACCATTACCATAGGGCAGTGAGGACTTGATCAGATCAGCATGGTAAGTGACTACAATATTTGTAAATACTTGACAATGTTGCTTTGTGGATGCAGGAAATTTTGCTCCTAATATCCAACCTTCTCTCACTAAATAATTCTTAAATTCTTAGTAGGAGAGAGTAATTTTTTAAAGAGACATTTTGTTTATTTCCAAACAGTGTGAAAATGATTTGGATAAACTCTAATATATTGCTGTAGTTTTGATTCTTTTTAAGCTGATTTTTTAGTCACTCGCTGCCTTTAACTGAAACCCTATAAAAAAACCCCACAACACCTCCTTCCTTTCGTTTTTATGTGTGTTTTAGATTTGATATACTGAGTTTTGTATAGAAACCAGTTGCTTTACTATTAAGTTTTTTTTTTTTTTTAATTTTCTGGGAACTTGAAACCAAGTGTACTATTACTATGCTCATAAATGTATGGCAGGGTAAAGTGCAAAGGTCTCTCTCGGGTCCCCCCCACCCTTTCTTGAGTTTAAATGTTAGACAGTGATAATGAAAATAATTACCTTCTGTTTGAATACCATTCAACTTTAGTTTCTTATGTGTGAGTCACTGTAATTTTTCATGTCCTAATATTTTAAAATTCTTGAATGGAAGCAGTTTTCAAAGTAATTTTCAGCTTGGATCATCTCATTCCACTGAATTTTCTTTTCAAATGGTAAGTATCTTTTTTTATTCTTTTCATTTTCCTAAAAATTTTTGTGTCCAACGTGAAGGATTCTGTGGTGATGAAAATGCTGTGTATCTTGACTTCGTTAATGTCAATATTCTGGTATCATACTTTAGTCTTCTAGGATGTTAGCACTGGGGAAAAGTGGGTAAAAAGTTCACAAGATTTCTTTTAACTGCATGAGACTCTAATTATCTAAAAAAGTATAATTAAAAACATTTCTTCATAATAATTCACAGAAGGAGTTCTGCTGATGTAGCAATTAAGTATTGGCTTGCTATGCAAAAGATCAGGGTTTTGAGTCCACCAGCTGCTGTGTGAGAAAAAGAGGGGCAGTTTCCTCACGTTAAGATTTATAGTCTCAGAAACCAGATGGAAGGTCACCGCAAGTTGAAATTAATTCAGTGGCAGTGGGTATAGTAAGTCAGATGAGCTTTGGGCAATATTAACTAATGCACCATAATTTATCAATGTTGATATTTGTATTTGGTAGTTGATTTTTAATTATTTTGTCCATCCTCATCTGTTGGTTTGCCATATTGTTTTGGCTTGGATATTGCTGAGATGGTATAATGGATAGTAGGCCAACAGTATTACAGATATCAGATAATATGCAAACCATGGTATTTTTTTTAAACAATGATATTTTTCAATCTTCTCCTAAGCATGTGAAAGTTGGACAATGAATAAGGAGGACCAAAGAAGATGTGATGTCTTTGGTAAAAGTGCTGAATACACTATGGGCTACCAGAAGAATAAACAAATCTTAAAAGAAATACAACTAGAAGAATGATTTGGTGCAAGGATGGCAAGACATCATTTTACTTACTTTGGGAAAGTTATCAGGAAGGGCCGCTTCTTAGAGAAGGATGTTATGCCTGATAAAGTAGAAGCAATGATTGTGAGGATGGCCCAGCACTGTTATGTGCTGTGGAGTCACCTGCGACACATAGTGACCCTATGTACAACAGCTCTGAAGCCTGCCCTGTCCTGAGCCAGTCTCACTGATTCTGACATACCAACCCCTATTGAACTAGTTACTGTATCAATCCACCTCATCCGGGGCTTTCCTCTCCTGCACTGTCACTCTATACTTCTGAGCATGATATCCTTCTCCAAGAATTGGTCCCTCTTCGCCATGTGCCCAAAGTATGTGAGACGGAGCTTCATAATCCTAGCCTCCAAGGAGAAACTTGGTTTCCCCCTATCCAAACAAACCTATTTGTTTCCGTGGCAGTCCATGGTATGTTCAAGACTCTTCTTCAGCACCGCAGCTCAAAGGTATTAATTCTTCTGTCATCCTTTGTCTTTGTCCAGCTCTCTGATGCATAGCAAGTAATGGTGAAGACCATGGCCTGGGTTAAGGCACATCTTAGTCTTTAGACTGACATCATTGCTTTTCAGTACTCAGGAGAAGTGTCTGATAGCAGATTTTCCCAGTGCAATTTGTCTTTTGATTTCCAGTCTGCTGGTCCCAAGAGTGTTGATTGTGGAGCCAAGCAGGCTGTAAATGTTAACGACCTCTATCTCTTCTCTGTCAATCATGGTGCTGCCAATTGGCCCAGTGGTGGGAATCTTTGTCTTCTTGATGTTTACCTTCAACCCATATTGAAGTCTGCAGTCCTTGACCTTCTCAGCAAATATCTAAGGTCCTCCTCTGTTTTCAGCAAGCAAGGTTGTGTCATTGGCATAACTTAGGTTGTTGATGAGTCTTCCTCCAATCCTGACGCCACATTCCTCCTCATCAAGACCAGCTTCCTGAATGATCTGTTCTGCATTAACAATCAGGCCCAGCATTGTTGCTGTTATGTGCCATTGAGTCCCCTGTGACTCATAGCAACCCTATGTACAACAGCCCTAAACCCTGCTCTATCTTGTGCCATTCACACTGTCTCTGACACACTTACTCCCATTACCCCAGTCACTGAATCAATCCACCTCATAGAAGGTCTTCCTCTCCTGTGCTGTCCCTCCACTGTCCCAAGCATCACATTCCTCTCCAAGGACTGGTCCTGCCTTGAAACATGTCCAAATTATGCTAAACAAAGCTTCAGAATCCTTGCCTCCAAGGAGCAGCCAGGTTTAACCCTTTCTAGGAAGAACCTGTCTGTTTTTTAGCAGTTTATGGTATTCTCAATACTCTTCTCCAGCACCACATCTCAAAGGCAACAATTCTTTTTCTATCCTCCCTCATCATTGTCCAGCTCTCTGACACATAGCAAGTGACTGCAAAGACCATGGCTTTTATCAGGCGCACCTTAGTCTCCAGAGTGACATAATTGCTCTTCAGTACTTTGGAGAGGTCTCTAACATCAGACTTTCCCATAGCAATCAGTCTTTTAATTTCCTGGCTGCTGGTGCCAAGAGTGTTGACTTTGGAGCCAAGCAAACTGAAGCTGTGAATAATCTCAACCTCTTCACTATCTATCATGTTGCTGCCAATTGGCCCAGTGATGAGAATCTTTGTTTTCTTGATATTGAACCCCAATCTGTATTGAAGGCTGCAGTCCTTGACTCTCTGCATCAAGCGCTTCAGATCCTCCTCAGTTTCAGCAAGCAGGGCTGTGTCATCTGCATAACACAGATTGTTGATGAATCTTCCTCTAATCCTGATGCCACATTTCTCCTCATACAACCCAGCCTCCCAGATAATCTATTCTGCATATAGATTGAATAGGTATGGAGATAGGACACATCCCTGGCATACAACCTTCCTAATTTTGAACCATTCAGTGTTTTCTTGTTCTAGGTGGTGCTTATTTCTGTGGTACACAAGGTTGCTATGAATTGGAAGTTACTCAGTAATACTCAACAATGTTGTTGTTGTTGTTATGTGCCATCAAGTCGTTTGCGACTCATACCGACCCTATGTACAACAGCCCTAAACCCTGCTCTATCCTGTGCCAATCTCATTGCCTCTGACACACCCATCCCGATTACGCCAGTCACTGAATCAATCCACCTCATAGAGGGTCTTCCCCTCCTGCGCTGTCCCTCTACTCTACCCAGCATGATGTGCCTCTCTAAAGACCTGTCTCTCCTTACAACATGTCCAAAGTATGTCAGGCGAAGCCCCAGAATCCTTGCCTCCAAGGAGCAGCCTGGTTTAACCCTCTCTACGATGAATCTGTTTGTTTTCTTGGCAGTCCATGGGACATTCAATACTCTTCTCCAGCACCACAGCTCAAAGGCGTCAATTCTCCTTCTATCCTCCCTAGTCATTGTCCAACTCTCTGATGCATAACAAGGGATTGGAAAAACCATGGCCTGTATCAGGTGCACCTTAGTCTCCAGAGAGACACCGTTGCTCTTGAGTACTTTAGAGAGGTCCCTAACCACAGACTTTCCCATTGCAATATGTTTTTTGATTTCCTGGCTACTGGTGCCAAGAGTGTTGACCGTGGAGCCGAGCAAACTGAAGGTGTGAACACTCTCAATCTCTTTGCCATCCATATAACAACAAAATATTTGTAGTATGACTAATAGGGAGCTCTGTGGCCCAGTGGCAACAAGTTGCGGTCCAGTCCTGAAGGCACGGGGTTTGAGGCCACTCGCTGCTCTGCAGAAGGATGGACAGTCTCCTCCCGTGTGATTAACTGTCTCTGAAAACTCCACCAGTGGGTCAGCTCTTGGTCAGTTCCAACTCTACGGCACACAACATCAACAGTGTGATTAATATTTTAACAGCTAGTTTTAAACGCCAAATAGAGGTTTGGCTATTGATTGGTAAGACTATTGGCTATTGATTATTAAGCAAGATGCTTTTTAAGTTATAAATTTGCAACAAGACTGTTTTTGTTCCAAGAACGATATTTACCCAGAGATGAAATAAGAGGAAGCTCTACCCAAGAATGAATTTTAATTTCTTGTAAGCAAAGAAACCTGTGTTATGTCTTGCAAATTGAAGATACAAAGGTCAAAGATTTTAATGCAGCTGAAGATGAACAGAGTCCAAGTTAGATTGCAGAGGTGTGACTGGCAAGAATGCTCTCTGTCTTATTCTTAGACTAGTGGCATGTGCAGCCGCAGACAAGTGATTGGCCTTGGCCTGAGATTATATTGCAGATGAGTCTTAGTTCTCGGCAAAGTGCAACCCCAGGTGAATACAGGTGTGCCTATCAGTTTATCAAGTCAAAAGATCTGAACAGTCTGATGATGCAGAAAACAGGATCCTGCCTCTGTAGAGTTCTCAGAGTGAACTTGGGACAATAGACCCTGACTGTCAAAACTCAACAATCTTAATGTCAGCAACTGCTGCTATTTTAAAATATTTTTCAGGTTTAATTTTTCATTTCTCCTCAGAGTAGATATTTGTTCCTGATTTACTAATTTTGAGCTGACAGACAACTCACTTGTCACAACAAGCCCTTATAAAATCCATTATATTAAAAATATGAGGTGCATGTAATAGTTTATAATAACAAATGAGTACTGCTTGCAAATTAGTGACGTGTATAAAAACATTGTTTTTATCACTATATTGTAATAATAAATATACTCTAGTGTGTCTAGAGTGTTTCTTTACTTTTTTTTTAATTCCTAGAAAAGCACACTATATACTATATACCAAGAAAAGTATTTGACTAACTGATGCTAAATGTGAACTATACGTAACTGTTCCTACCTATGTACAAATTAAAAACAGGTTTAGGAATGAAATTCATTCATAATCCATCTATGGTGATAAAAATTGGGCAGTAATCTTAAGGAGAAAGCTATATTCTTAGGTTTTTCATGAGGTAGGATGGGGGGCATTATGTGGTAAAAAAAATTAGGCAAACAAACAGAAAAATCACTTAGGGTAGAGATACATCTAGAGTTAATATTTTGATGCATTTTCTTTTAGATTTTCCTGTATCTGTTTTAAAATCAAATTTTGCTGTAGTGAAATAGAAACAAAATGTTTCTATTTCAACTGCTTTTTATGCATGTGATTCAACAACATAACATATTCATCAAGTTATGTAACCATCATCACTGTTTCTAGGTTTTTTCACCACCAATAACAGAATGTCTATGCTGTCTTTCAAATATGAGTGATATTACGCTCTATCTGCAATTATATTTTAAATGCTTCTGCTTAATATTTTATCGTAAGCATTTTCCATGCTTTTGTACTCCAAGAAGTGACTATTTGGTGAATTCCATTGTGCCTATATCTTTGCATTTTAGATTCTTTCATAATTTATTGATATTGTTTGTAATTTACAACAGATATCTCATGTTTCATTTTTTTACATTGATTTATACTAAAATTTTTTATGTATAGCTCTTCACTATGCTTTAGCAAATCTTTACCTGGATTTTTGAATCTTACGATAAAGAGGCTTTTACATTTTTGGAAAATTGAGTCTATTCCTTTTATCTTTTGTAATTTTTAAACTTAGGATGTCCTTTCTTATTTAGACACTAGATAAAAAGTTAACTATAAAATGTCATGACATGAAAATATAATAAATTGAATCTATTTGCCATGAATTTTATTATGAGACAAAGGTATATGTTGATTCTTTTTCCACAGATAACTAGGCAAATTTATTCTGGGCAAATAGGTCTGGTGTATACATGGTTTTAACCTAGATATCAGACCAATAATCAGTAGGTACTTAACCTGTGTTGTTAAAGGAAAACTTTTAGTGGAAGTTGGTATTTGTTTTCCATTATTTCTGAAGGCTATGAATACTTCGGTTTTTGGTTTACATGATATACTTTAATTATCCTGATAAAATTATTTTTCTTCCTGGTTTAAGAGAACATGACTTCTTTTTTCCATGATTTGTAACCAGAAGTTCTTACTTAAGAAGGTCTGTCCCATTCTGATTTACTGCAGAGGGAGTGCCTTTCTATTCACGTTGGCCAAGCTGGTGTCCAGATTGGGGATGCTCTTTGGGAGCTCTATTGCCTGGAACATGGGATACAGCCAGATGGTGTTGTTCTTGACAGTAAAATAGATCAACTGGGAAATACTCAAATGGAAACGATGAATTCTCCATATTTCGATACATTCTTCTGTGAGACAAGAACTGGAAAGTATGTGCCACGAGCTCTCTTCATGGACCTGGAACCAACTGTTATTGGTAAAGTGAAGCTTTGCAGTCTATGTACTCAGTCAGACCCACAATGAAAGCAATCAAGTATCAATGGTTGAAAGTATCAAATTATATCTCTATCATCTCTATCTCTATCTCTCTATCTCTATCATCTCTATCTCTATCTCTATCTCTATCTCTATCTCTGTCTCTATCTCTATCTGCATCGGGTCATTTGGATTTTGCCCAAGTTTAGAGAATTGGTCAATGGCCATGTAGCATCATAAGATGGCAAACACATCCAAAGGAAAAATTAACCTTATTTTTCTCTATGATTGTTGTTGTCGTTTGATGCCGTCGAGTTGTAGACGACTCATAGCGACCCTATGAACGAACAGCCTGAGCACTGTTGGTACATAGAGTTTCTGGAGGCAAAGCCATTTCGGAAGTGGATGCCGCTCCTGCTTCCAGGCTTGATTTAGTCGGGAAGCTCCAGCCAACACTGTCCACCATGGGTACCCATTACCATGATTGGCACATCACTGTCACAGTCTTCAGCATCACAGCAACCATGAGTTGCCTCTGTACAGCAATGCACAGACCAGTGCTATACCACCTAGAAGAATGTTTGACAGGAGATTAAATGAACTAAATTTGTATTTATTTCTTCATACATACATATATGTTATAACAGAACACTAAATCTTTTCCTGATTTCAGAGCTAGTTGCTAGAAACTACTAGCAAAGAATGTGAACGTTTGTTATTATTACTCATACAGAGTAAAATATTTTTTAAAATAATGCTAAAGTTGGGAGTCAAAGAAATCTTCTAATTGTGGGTTGTTTTTGTTGTTATTATGTGCTGTCGAGTCACCTGCGACTCATAGTGACCCTATGTACAATAGTCCTATGTACAACCCTGCTCTATCCTGTGCCAACCTTGTTGTCTCTGACACACCCTCTCTGATTACCCCAGTCACTGAATCAATCCACCTTATAGAGGATCTTCCTCTCCTGTGCTGTCCCTCTACCCTCCCAAGCATGACATTTGTCTCCAAGGACTGCTCTCTCCTTTCAACATGTCCAAAGTATGTCAGACGAAGCTTCCGAATCCTTGCTTCCAGGAGCAGCCTGGTTTAACCCTCTCCAGGATGAACCTGCTTGTTTTCTTAGCAGTCCATGGTATATTCAATACTCTTCTCCAATACCAGAGCTCAAAGGCATCAATTCTCCTATAATCCCTAGTTATTGTCTAGCTCTCTGACCCATAACAAGTGATTACAAAGACCATGGCCTGTATCAGGCACAACTTGGTCTCTAGAGTGACACCATTGCTCTTCAGTACTTTGGAGAGGTCCCTAACAGCAGACTTTCTCATCACAATGTATCTTTTAATTCCCTGGCTGGTGGTGCCAAGAGTATTGACTTTGGAGCCAAGCAAACTAAAGCTTGTTGGCCTTGACATCCACAATGAACACAAGTGTGTTGTTATCTTCTATCTTCTTCATGGCTGACTCAGTGGTCAGGGGAAATTTGATGATGGCATAGTGATCAAGCTTGTTTCTCCTGAGGACGCTCCTCCCGGGGTATTTAGGTGCCTGTGGAATCTCAGCGTCTTGGGCTGCCGGAAGGTGGGTGACGTGCAGATCTTCTTTTTCTTTTGGCTGTGGCTGTCCTTCAGGACTGCCTTCTTGGCCTTTAATGCCTTTGCTTTGGCTTCAGTTTTGGGAGGGGGAGGCGCCTCCTTGCTGCTGGTACCAAGGGTGTTGACTGTGGATCAAAGCGAGATGAAATCACTGACAATATCAAACTTTTCTCCATCTATCATGGTAAGAAACTGCACTGCAATCCCAAAGGCTTGCCATTTGAATCTACCAGCTGCTCTATGGGAGAAGGTTGGGCAAGCTTTTGTGTGATTAACTTTCTCTGAAAACCTGGTAGAGGGTCAACTATCGGTTGGTTCTGACTTGGCAGCACACAACAACAACAGGAATAATTAGTATATTCAGTTATGAGTATGTTGTAGTGTGCAGACTTCATGTGGAGTTGTGATGCCGAGAATGTAGAACAGAAACTATTTGAGCGATTATGTTAAAACAGAGCAGAGTAATTAAAAAAAAATCAAATGAATGTCCAAGACAGAATTGAGAGGTAACTTCAATGGTAAAATCACTGTAGAAAATGATATGGCATTTCAACCAAAAGCTTGACATAAAAATAATGATTTAGCAATCTAGTTCTTAGGTATACATAACAGAGAACTAAGAGCTATGACACAAACATATGCACACCAGTGTTCACTGCATTTTTTGTTCACAACAGCAAAAAGATAGAAACTACTTAAGTGTCCATCAGTAGCAAAATTAATAAACAAACTGTAGCTGATACATACAATGGAATCTATGCACAGTTAAAGAACAATGATGAATATGAGAAACATTTCACAACATGGATGACTCTGGAAGACATTCTGTTGAGTGAAATAAGCCAATTACAAGAAGACAGGTACTGTCCAGGGTCACAATTATAAAAACTCAAGAGAAGACTTATACACAGAAAGAAACATTGTTTTATGGTTACTAGGAATGGTAGGCTTGGTCGGGAAAATTATATGCTAACTTTGTTGAAGGAATGACAATATGCAATATGAATGGATCCAGGCATACATAACAAAATCAAAAAAAGATACGGAAATATACAAATGAGGGAAAGGAAATGATAAATACACAATAAAAACAGTATTTAAGTGGATAAATAAGCAGTTATGTAAGCTAAGAGGTTGACAGGAATATGGTGGAAGTTGAGAGTACATCCACAGTCACATATATGGTTGACAGATACTCCAGCATAGTTTGTACAGGTTGCAAATACACCTACATATACAATACAATATAATGTGTAAGGGGCACAGTCATGAAAACCAATTGAACAATTGTTGTTGTTAAGTGCAGTCAAGACTCAGAGCGACCCTATGAACAACAGATCTGTACCCTGTCGTCCTATTGCCATTCTCGTAATTTCTGGCATACTGCACCCACTGCTGCAGTCACTGTGTCAATCCATCTCATTGAAGGTCTTTCTCTGACTATCCTTCATCTTTCTAAGCATGGCGTCTCTTTCCAAGGAATAACCTTTCCTAGCAACACACCCAAAGTATATGAGATGAAGCTTTGATATCTTTGTCTCCAAAGAGCACTCTGGCTGAAATTTCTCCAATACATACATATCTCTTCTTTTGGTAGTCCATGGAGTATTCAGTACCCTTCTCTTAACACCACAGCTCAGAGACATTATTTCTTCTTCTGCCATTCTTATTCATTGTCCAGCTCTCAGATGAATAGTAAGTGAATGAAAAGACCATTGCCTGAATTGGGTGCACCTTAGTCTTCAAACTGACATCATTGCTCTTCATTAATTTGGGAGGTCCCTGACTGCAGATTTTCCCAATGCAGTGCATCTCCTGATCTCCTTGCTGCTGGTACCAAGGGTGTTGACTGTGGATCAAAGTGAGATGAAATCACTGACAATATCAAACTTTTCTCCATCTATCATGGTGTTGCCTATTGAATCTAGTGGTGAAAATTCTTGCTTTCTTAATGTTGAAATGTAATCCATATTGATAACCAATTAGTCATAACCAGATAACTCCTGACACTGAGAGCCAGGGACCATATCCTTTTTTGGGGGGGAGGGAACCATAGTCTTGAGGGACATCTAGTTCAACTGATATAAACACAATTCATAAAGACAATGTTTTACATTTTGCTTGATAAGGAGTAATAGGCATCTTAAAAGCTTGTGAGTGGCCATTTCATGACAACTATTGATCTCTTTCCATTGGAGCTAAGAGAAGGAAGAAACCACATTCCAGGATACAAGAATTCCAAAGGACTGATTGATCTCTTAAATCACAGTTTCCACTAACATGAGACAAGAATTAAATGGTACCCAGCTATCTACTAACCATTCTGACTGAGATCTCAATAGAATGTATTGGATGGAGTGGGAGAAAAAGAATAAAAATTAAAATTAATAAGAAAGTCCAGATATACTGGCTGGAATCTCTGAGACTATGACTCTTAGAAAACTTTATAACTTAGAACTAAAGCCATTTTTTTAAAAATATAGAATGCTTCACAAATTTGCATCTCTCATCCTTGCACAGGGGTCAAGCTAATCTTCTCTAGATCATTCCAATTTTAGTATGTGCTGCTGAAAGGAGCACTAAGCCACTCTTGAACTAATTTTTCAGATGGATAAAAGATAATCTTACAAGTGAGCAATAAATACTCTGTTCCTTACTGAAAGGAACATACTCTTAAGAGCATTTAATTATGTGAGAACACAGTCAAATGTTTAGCTAAGAGCAAAGTTAAAAAGACGGGAAGGGGCAGTAAAACAAAGTGAACCAAAATGGGGAACTTGAGGTGGAAAAGGATAGAGTGCTGACACATTTTGGTAGTTGCAACCAATATCACAGGACAACCTGTGTATAAATTTCAAAAAATAAAACCAACTCACTTTGTAAATTTTTACTTAAATCATAATAACATACTTTCTGAAAGAAATTTTTTACTGATTCAGTAATGTAATTGTTAAAGAAATAGAAATTCCGAAGGAAGACTTGTGTAAGTGAAGTTTGGTTTTGAACATAATGCATTTAAAGTGTCAGCTGATTGGTCCCAGTTGAAAACAGAACTGGTACATAAAAAACTATGAAAATATATAGTCACATTTAACCTAAGGTGATTTTCTAATCAAGAAACAATGGGTTTTGGTTGCAATTTTGCTATTTCTTTCTTGTTTAAAGTGTGGTAAATTTGCATATTATAAAATTTTCATCTCACTGTATTGTGCAATTACTAAAACTGTCTACTATCAAAATCCGTTTGTCATTTCAAACAGAAAGTCTTATATGTATGTACCCATTAAGCATAATTTCTCTCCACCCAAATTCTGATAAACTCTACCATGCTTTTTGTCTTATAAATTCATCTCTTCTACATATTTTAGGTAAATGGAATAAAAAACCTCCCCTTTTGTGCCTGGTTTATTTAAATTAGCATAATGTTTTAAAGTTTCAGCTCTGTCATAGGAGGTATCAGAATTTAATTCCTCTTTAATGGTTGAATAATGTTCCATTATATGTGGTATGCCACATTTTGCTTATCCATTCAGCTTTTGGTGGACACTTGGGTTATTTCTACCCTTTGTCTAAGGGCATTTCATTATGAGCAATGCTGTCAGGAATATTGGTCTATGATAATATATACTGAAGTCTCCTGTATTCATACCCTAAGAATGGAATTGTGAAGTCATTGGTGGTTCTATGTTTAACTTTGTGAAGAACTGCCAATTTTTCTTTTTCTGCTGAGGTTGTGCTACAGAAGAAGAAAGATAACATTGACATTATGCAACATCTCCTTATAGGGAATAGTATTTTTAAATTCACAGAAGCCTGAAGGTATGTAACAAATTGAACCAGCTTAGTGTAGCTAGAACTTACAGTCTGAGAAGGAGAACAATGAAAGATGAGGTTGGGAAGATCTTCAGAGGTAGAGCCAACCCAGGAGCATAGTCAAGGGAAAGTAAGAAAGTTATAATCAGAGAAAGAATTTTGCAAGTTTAAGACTTTGGCAATAGAACAATTCTGAGTAATGTTGATTCAAGTGAAGAAGTGCTAAATGGTAATGGAGCTAAGAAAGTTCTAGACTATCAGATGAAAAGAGTTGAAAGTTATTGAACTCTCTGAATGTTAGGTAAGGGTTTTACCTAAGGAAAGTTAGTTAAGTCAAGTACTGAACTCTGAGAAGGGCAGATAAGTGTCCAGGATGTTAGAAAGGATGGCATGAGTGTACTGTTAATCGCATTTGAATCATGAGGGCATTAAAATTTGTCATACTTTCTTAATAGCCTCATTTAGAACATCAATAACAATTTAGGTTTCTACACTTTCCCAAAGAACACTTTATTTGTTATTTTGTGGATAGAAATATTTGTCATAAAATATAAAAATGCCCTAAGTATGCTCAATGTCAAGAAGACAAAGATTCTCACAACTGGACCAATTAGCAACATCAGGATGGATGGTGAAGAGATTGAGATTGTTCACAGCTTTAGTTTGCTTGGATCCACAGTCAACACTCTTGGCAACAGCAGCCAGGAAATTAAAAGACGTATTGCGATGGAAAAGTCTGCTATTAGGGACCTCTCCAAAGTGCTGAAGAGCAATGGTGTCTCCCTGGAGACTAAGGTGCATCTGATAGAGGCCATGGTCTTTGCAATCACTTGTTATGTGTCACAGAGTTGAAAAATGACTAGGGAGGATAGAAGGAGAATTGTTGCCTTTGAGTTGTGGTGTTGGAGAAGAATATTGAGGGTACCAAGAGGGTTAAACCAGGCTGCTCCTTGGAGGCAAGGATTCTGAGGCTTTGTCTGACATACCTTGGACATGTTGTAAGGAGGGACTGATCCTTGGAGAGGACATCATGCTTGAAAGGGTGGAGGTACAGAGCAGGAGGGGAAGGCCCTTCTATGAGGTGGATGGATTGATTCAGTGACTGGGATAATCGGGATGGGAGTGTCAGAGACAGTGCGATTGGCACAGGACAGAGCAGAGTTTAGGGCTTTTGTACATAGGGTCACTATGAGTCGCAAGTTACTCGATGGTGGATAACAACAACAACAACAACAACAAGTATAGTAAGAAAAATATACTTTCAGTTTGTGTGCAAAGAATTGCATTCTTTTCTAAACTTATTCTTGGGTGCCATCAAGTTGATTCCCACTTGTGGAGACTGTACGGCAGTAAAACAAATTAATGGGGTTTTCTAGGCTATAATTATTGGGGAAATAGATTGCTAGGTCTTTCTCCCTAACAGTTACAGTATGGATTTGAATTGCCTTTTGCCTAGAAGCTGAAAGTTTAACTCCTGGTGGCTCCATGCTTCCATTTTCCAACCTAAGAAAAGCTATTTTTGGGAAAGAATGGTGGTTGGATTAGAGTTGAATTGAGCAGAATGCATTGATTTACTTTCACTTCCTGCAGATAAGACTCGTACAGGCAAATACTGCTCACTCTTCCACCCAGAGCAGCTCGTTAGTGGAAAGGAAGACGCTGCGAACAACTACGCCCGAGGCCACTACTCTGTGGGGCCAGAGATCCTGGACCTCGTTCTAGAGAGAATTCGAAAGCTGGTAAGTGATCCTCTCCTTTAGATAGGGCCGTGTTGGGGTGCTTCCGATCCTGTAGTGGGACTCCTCCCAAGTATCAGCAGCATTATTTAATACCAAGAGGAACGCTGGTGATACAATGGCTGTTCAGCAGCTAAACTTGAAACGCAGCCAGCAGCTCTGTGGGAAGAGAAAGGGTGATTTACTTCCGTAAAGATTATAGCTTGGAAAATCCTGTAGTGTAGTTCTGCTCTATTATGAGGTGAAAACTGGCTGAGGGGTAGGATCTGTACGCCTTTTTCCCAGCTACTTACTGACCTCTACTCCTGTAAGGACCTGGAGTCAGGTGAATCTTTTTCCTATTGGAGACTTGGTGTAACTAGGTAAATACAACGCCTTTCATGCCAGCACAGAAGATTGAGTATAGATGTGATAAACACTTCAACTACTGTGAAGGAGGAAAGATTTGGCTTCAGTATTTTGCTAGCCATATTATTTTCTTTGTTTTGAATAAAGGACCTTGCTTTAGAGCAAACACAGATAAATTCATGGAAGGCATTAAAAGTATACATGCTTTGTTCATAGTGAAACTTCGAGGCACTTCTACTCCAGAAGCACCACATTTCAAAGTAGATCTGTTTGCTGTGCAGTTAGTTATCCTAGTTACTAATCTTTTCTCAAAAAAAAGGATTTTTTTTTTCTATTTTATTGTTGTTGTTTGGGAGGGGGGTTAAGGATTAGGGTAGAAGGACTTATTGTATCCTTTCATTATAATTCTTTCTGAATTTTTCTGACTGGGTTCTCACATCCCATTTACCCCAACCAGGTGGAACAGTGCAGTGGACTTCAAGGATTTTTAATTTTCCGAAGCTTTGGAGGAGGCACCGGATCAGGATTTACATCTCTCTTAATAGAACAACTTTCAGTAGAATACAGCAAGAAGACTAAGCTGGAGTTCTCAGTTTACCCTGCCCCCAGGGTTTCCAGCACTGTGGTGGAGCCTTACAACTCCATCCTCACTACCCATTCCACCATAGAGTACTCAGACTGTGTCTTCATGGTGGACAACGAAGCCATCTATGACATGTGCCATAGTAAACTTGGTGTTGAACGCCCTTCTTATGCTAATATTAATAGGCTGGTAAGTCAGGTAGTGTCTTCTATTACTGCTTCCCTCCGGTTTAAAGGGTCTTTGAATGTGGACCTAATTGAATTCCAGACCAATCTAGTACCATATCCAAGAATACATTTCCCCGTGGCAACATATGCTCCTGTTGTCTCTGCTGACAAAGCTTATCATGAACGTTTCTCTGTGGCAGATATCACTGCTGCTTGCTTTGAGTTCTCCAACCAGCTAGTCAAGTGTGACCCTCGGCTTGGGAAGTATATGGCTTGCTGCCTTCTTTACAGAGGAGATGTGGTCCCTACGGATGTAAATAATGCCATTGTTGCCATGAAGTCAAGGAACTCTGTTCAGTTTGTAGATTGGTGTCCAACTGGCTTCAAGGTGGGCATCAACCATCAGCCACCCACCATGATCCCAGGAGGAGACCTGGCCCATGTCCAGCGTGCTGTCTGCATGCTGAGCAACACCACAGCGATTGCAGAGGCCTGGGCCCGTCTGGACCACAAGTTTGACCTCATGTATGCCAAGCGGGCATTTCTGCATTGGTATATTAAAGAAGGCATGGAAGAAGCAGAGTTCTCTGAGGCCAGGGAAGATTTGGCAGCCCTGGAGAAGGATTATGAGGAAGCAGGGCAAAGTTTTTGATGCAAGTGTGACTGATAGAAACAAATGTGAAGTTGAAATACTTTATATTTTCAATAAACACCAAATAAATAGAGTTTGCTTTATTTAACAGGGAAAAAAATGGAATAAAATCAGACAAGACTCTAAGTTTCACACTAAGTCAAACTAGTCAATATTAATAGTAAGCACATTGTTCCTTGTCAATTAGGGTAACTCAACAAAGTTACCTATGGACTTTGTAATTTTTGGAGTCTTTTTTAGGTGCGTGTGTTTTGTCAGAATATAAATTTGACTTTATTATGTGCTTTTTAAAACAGAAAGATAAGAAATCCTAAAATTTAAGCTTTTCTTATCTGTTGTTTGCTTTTGGTTTTATTTTTGGTTTTTTTTTTTTTTGGTGGCTGGGTGTTTCTTGGGATGTTTTTGTTTTTCTTATCCTTTAATTACTTTTAAAGGATAAGAAAAGCTTAAATTTTAGTGTTTTATAGTCTCTCTGTTTAAAAAAACACATAATAAAGTCAAATTTTTATTCTGACAAAACACATACACCTAAAAAAAGAATTTTGGAAAATCTGCTGTCAGGGATCTCTTCAGAGTACTGAGAAACAGTGATGTCAGTCTAGAGACTAAGGTGTGCCTGATCCAGGCTATGGTCTTCGCAATTACTTGCTATGCATCAGAGAGCTGGACAATGACTAAGAATAACAGAATAAGAATTGATGTCTTTGAGTTGTGGTGCTGGAAAAGAGTCTTGCACATACCATGGACCACCAAGAAAACAAATAGGTTTGTCTTGGAGAGAGTGAAACCAAATATCTCCTTGGAGGCTAGGATTTTTTGAAGCTCCATCTCATGTACTTTGGGCACATGGCCAGGAGGGACCAGTCCTTGGAGAAGGACATCATGCTTGGAAGGGTGGATGGGACAGCACAGGAGAGGACAACCCTGGATGAGGTGGATTAATACAGTGACTGGGACAATGGGAGTTGGTGTGTCTGGCTTAGGATAGGGCAGGCTTTCGAGCTGTTTACATAGGGTTGCTATGAGTTGCAGGTGACTCGATGGCACATAACAATTTATCCTTTAGCTGAGGTAGAAAACAGTGCATGATGATTATTGTTATTTCCCCCATATCAATATTTGTACATGGATTAAAGACTATTTTCAGTAGAAGTATTATTTTTTCTAAATCAAATTTATATAATTTATATACAAGTTGAGTCTTTGTATATTGTCTCTAAAATTTTCTACTCTTCTTTATCCTCTTATTGTTTTCAGCTATTTTCTACATTTCTTAACTTTTAGGAAATAGAAACTACTTATTCTGCGTAGCCTGTTGTTGTTGTTGTTGTGTACCAAACATAGCTGACCCTCCATCAGGTTTTCAGACGCAGTTAATTGCACAGAAGGAAATTGCCCATCCTTCTCTCACAGAGCAGTTGTTGGCCTCGAACTGTGTACCTTTGAGATTGCAATGCAGCTTCTTGCCACTAGATCACCAGAGCTCCCTTATTCTGTTTGGCCTATTAAGCCACAAAGGTAATAATAATGGATGATAATTGTTCTATAAGATGGTCTGGTGGCCTAGTGGCAAGAACCTGCACTGCAGTCCCAAAGGCATGTGGTTCAAAGCCACCAGCTGCTCTTCAGGAGATGGATGAGCAATCTCCTCCCATGGGATTAACTGCCTCTGAAAAGCCACAGGAGGTCAGCCATGGGTTGGATCCAACTCAATAGGACATGACAATGACAACTATTTTTTCGTTTTCATTAGAAACCTAACTGAAATGATATAAACTCATGAAATTTGAAAAAAAGTTTCTGTGCATTTTGAATATAGATGCAAGTTTGAGGGGATGTTTCCCCACTAGAGTTCAAAGGCGTTATATATAAGATAATTCATTCCTATGATAATTATATAGGCTATAAAGAATAAATAAAAATATTTTATCAATAAAGATGTTTCATGAAATTATTTAATTTTTTTTTGTAAGTCCATGTTAGTTCCTCTTGGTGGCAGTCAGACAAGGGAAGTTTCTGGGGTCTTTTGCGTTGTGTGTTACTGTCCTTTTTGGCCTTCAAAAGCGGTTGGGCGGCCCTGACCCTTGAAGTAAGGGTCATGTAACCCTGGTATGTCCACTTGCTATACAGAGGTAACTCCTGGTTGCTGTGAAGCCGAACACTGTGACACTGATGAGTCAAATGTGAGAATGGTTACCCATGGTGGACAGTGTTTGGTGACACTCCCTGATTAAAACAAGCTTGGAAGCAGGAGTGGCATCCACTTCCACAACAGCTTGCCTTGGGAAACCCTATCTATGAGCCTGGAGAAAGGATGAACGTTATACAGGAAGTGTCCAGGACTTAAGTTCATAGGGTCACTATAAGTCGCCTGCAACTCCATGGCACTTAACAACAATAACAAAGTGCATGTTATGGTTAGATACTGTAGGGATGGTTCTGACTCATAGCAACCCTCTGTACAAGAGAATAAACCTTACGCACCGTCCTCATCACAGTTTGCTGTGTTTATGCTCGTTGTTGTAATGATTATTGTCTAACTGTCTCATCGAGGGTTTGCCTCTCTTTTGCTGGCTCTATTTTACCAAGAATGATGTCTTTCTCCAGGAATTGACCCCTCCTGATAACATGTCCAAAGTATATGAATTGAAGTCTTACCATCCCTGTTTCTAAGGAGCTTCACTTCTTCCAAGGCAGATTTGTTTGCTCTTTTGACAGCGCATGGTATATTCAATACTCTTCAACAAACCCACAGATCAAAGACATAATAAGTTCTTCTTCAGCCTTCTGTATTCAGTGTCCAGCTCGCACATGTATATGAAACAATTGAAAATATCATTACCTGGATCAGGTGCACTTTAGTGTTTAAAATGATATCCCTCCTCATTAGAGGTCCCTAACAGTGCAATTATCCATTGGATTATGCCATTAGCTGTCTTAACCTACTTCTGTAGATGCTGATTTGTGAATAAGAGTGAATGAAATATTTTGCTTTTTCTTAATTTATAATGACATTATTTATTGATCCATTTGTGAGGATTTTCATGCTCTTTATGTTGAAATATAATCTATACTGAGCAAGCACTGTAGTCTTTGAGCTTCCTCAGCAAATGCTCCAAATCTTCATTTTCTGTAAGCTTGTTTCATCTGCATAACACAGGTTGTTGATAAATTTCCAACCCTGAAAGGGGGAAAAGAAACAACCTGGAGTATGAGTGAAGTATGTGAAGAAGGGGGGGAAATATCATATGACCCATATATTCTCCTGTTTTGAATATACATGGAGAAAATGAGAACTGAGGCACAAAGGGAGATTTGTACAGCAATGTTCATAGCAGCGTTATTCACCATTGCAAAACATGGAAACAGTCCAAATGTCCAACCACAATTGAATGGATTGAGGCATTGTGGTATATTCACATGATGGAATAATATGCAGCACACAGGAGCAATGATTTT